GATATTAACAACAACTTCCACAAAGCTTTGTTTTCATATGAATAATGTTTACATTGTTGGGAAAGAACCCACTTGTCTGGGAAGATGAAGCAGGTTGAATCAATTACAAATACGACCAACAGTTGGACAACTTCCCATTTCTAAAAGGAAGTCGAGAAGTGGGGTTAGAAATGTTGGCATTACTAGTGCCGGCCTGCCAGACAGAGCTGGGGCTGGAGGTCACCCGCACACACAGGCTCGGACCACCGCAGCCGCCTCCTCTGACCTTCACGAGATCAACCCTGGAGGCACACGTTCCTGGCTGCCTGCTTTCTCCTCCACCTTTCACCCCCGTCTCAGGTCCCTGGAAAAAGTGAAGAAGTGACCAGCAGGCTCTCTGCGTGCTCAGGAAAGTTCTGAGAATCTGAGCTCTTGGTCATAAATACTTCTGTGAGGGGCTTAGCTCCTTAAGCCACTCGGGACCCCTCTGAGCAAGGCTGTCACCCTGGAGGCCACGCGGCCTTGAATGCAGCCCACGTAAACTGGCCAATGCCCAATTCGCTTTAATTAACAGCGTTAGGATGAGGCTTCAAACATTTGGGTAGGGACTGCCATGTGTAGTCAGACACTCGGCATGAGAAAATGACAGCTCCATATGAAAACAGATGACGAAGGTGCTGCCCAGGCTTTTAGGGTCACACTCTCCACAGCCTGCCACCTGGTGTGGGCTCCAGATCACACTGCTTGGAACTGTGGTCAGGCTCGAATCTAGCAGATCCTCCCATGGGACCATGTGCTGGCCAGGAGAGGTGGCCACGAACTCACCCCAGTAAAGCGTCACCCACCAGGAACTCAGGGGGCACCGCTAACACTCAGCCAGCACCCCACAGTGGGAGGGTGGATAGATGGGTGATGCCCTACCTGAATGTCTGTGACACACACACATAAACATACACACGTGCACACACATGCACATATGCTTTGGGGGCCTAAGCTGGACAGAGATCAAACCGAAAGCTACTGCCCAGGTGTGTGCGTGCCTCTCTGGGGTCCTCTCTGGTTAAGAGAACAGTGCTAACTGCCCATGGGCAGAAGGAGTGAAGAGGGAGGCCTGGGTGCTCTGGGGCTAAGGGAGGTCAGGGAGTCCACGAAGGTCAGGAAAGAGATGAGGAAACAGAGCCCAGGCAGGGCAGGGCAGGCCAGCATGGCTGGGTAAGTACAGGTTGCCGAGAGCTGGATTTGCCCCCACCTGATAGGACCTGACCCGTAGGAACAGGCAGATAAGCCTCAAACAGGGTTCTGACTGCTGCAAGACACAGCTATGTGCACATCACCAGTACGCCTTTTGCTGGTTTGATCTGTGTCGTGGAAACAACATAATCTGGCAAGAACTGTTCCCATACTCCACCCGACCCAAGCTGAGGGCAGGGAAGACCCGGCAGCAGTGGCCATGGATGCCTCTTCTCCAAAAATGCCGTGATGCCCAAATCCCCTCTAAGGGTCCGGAGAGCGCAGTGACAGGCAGTCTGCACCTGTGGGTTCCTAGTCTTCACTGTACCATTAGTCCCCTCTCATCCTCCTGGGGTTCTCAGCTGTTGTTTGGCTGTGTCAGGCACCCCCCCCACCCGCTCTCCAATCACCTGCAGCTCCGTGGAAACACCATGACAGCCAAAGACCTGCCTCAGGGCCCTTGCAGTTGCTGTTCCTCTTGCCTGTACCTCCTTTGTCCAGATGTCACTTTCTCAGTGAGGACTCCCCTGACAACCCACTTAAAAGCCCCCAAACCCAGCACTGCTGCCCTGCTTTCCCTCTTGCTCGTCTTGCATGTTGCGTGTTTTACTGGTTTGTCCGCCTCACTACCACCCCGTGCCCCTTAAAGGCAGGGTTCTTGCCCATTTGGTTCACTGCTATATCTCCAGGGCCCAGCACAGAATCTGGTATAAATTAGATACCCCAGGATTTACTGAATGAATGAATTAGGCAGCACTTGCCCTATGCCAGGTAACGTGCTGGGGGCTGGACAAACAGAAACGGGGAAGGCTCTGTGCCCTGAAATGCCACCTGATGGAGGAGCCTGCGGTGCCATCCAGGAGCTAAGATCACACAGTGTCCAGTAAGGCACCAGGTAGTGTCACCTGCCAAATCAGCATGCCTGTCTTGTTGTGCCCAGCTGGCCATGGACAGGACAACCCAGCAATCCAGCTGTGAGAACTCAACAGTCCTCGTTTGTGAGGCCAGTGATTTCATGCCATAAACACCCAGTTACCAAGTCAAGAGCAGGCAGAGCTGATCCGGAGGAAGACAGAGACCAACCCCAGGGGTCCTGCATGCAAGGCAAGGCTGGGGCACTGTACCCCACCGCTAACACCAGGCAGCAGGTGGACAACATAAAGATGTTTCCTTTTCAAACGCAATGAATCCAGTGTCAGGAGACAGCACAGGGCCAGAAGGTGGGATGGGCACCCTCTGCCAGGCAGTCCCTTTCCCATCCCTGAGATGCCTGCCTTCTGGGAACTGCTCACCTGCTATTTTATTGGGAGCCTCTCCCATCTTCCCTCCTCCTTACCCACACCTAAAATATAGAAAATGAAATTGGCCAGGTACAGCGGCTCACGCCTGTAATCCTAGCACTTTGGGAGGCCAAGCTGGGAGGATTGCTTGAGCTCAGGAGTTCGAGATCAGGCTGAGCAATAGTGAGACCCCATCTCTACTAAAAATACAAAAATTAGCCAGACATCTATGGTCCGTGCCTGTAGTCCCAGCTACTGGGGAGGCTAAGGCAGGAGGATCACTTGAGCCCAGGAGTTTGAGGCTGCAGTGAGCTACGATGACACCACTGCACTCTACTCCGGGCGACGGAGCAAGACTCTGTCTCAAAAACAACAACAACAACAAAGTGAAATTATGAAGCCCCCTCAAAGTAGAATCAGTTGTGAAAAACCCCTTGGCATAATAGGCTGCCCAGAGGAGGGACAGCCAGCCCAGGAAAGTAAGTTTCTAGCTACCTGGAGGGTGGGAATGAAAGAGGTAAGTTGTGAGGGCCCCTGGCGAACAGCCCAAGAGCAAGCCCTGGGTCTGGGGCAGCTAGTCCTACCTGCAGGGGAAGGCGCCGGCCTGTGTGAGGGAGGGGCTGGTGAAATGTCAGAAGCTGCAGCCCAGTGCTGCTTCAGAGCAGGAACCCTGAAGGAGATGGCTTAGAACCTTCGGAGCCCTCTAATTTCTTCAGCTTTTCTTCCCTCACTTGGCTAAAAGTCCTTTCCAAGGACAGGTTCCAGGCAGTCTCTCCTACAGCTCCCCCTTAGGGCAAAGGTCGGTCTCCCAGCCTGCTCTCTTGGCAGCTAATCACACCCCTTCCCCCTCTGGCCCAGTCTTATCTCTCCCAGCTGGCCTCAGTCCTTAACCCCACCCCTTTCACCTAAGCCCAGGGTCCCAAAAATTCCAAAGTTGTTCTCCACTAGGCATTGCCCAAGCTGTACCGCTCACCACAGTGAAGGGCTTCCCTCACGCCTCCAGGCCACACACTCCATTGTGAGGTCGCAGGAACCTCAAAGACAACCCCAATCAATGTTCCCAAGCGCTCAGGGGCGCTGGGCAGGGTGATTAGACCTGAGTATTCAAAGCCTCCCTACAGCCTGCAAACACTTTGAGGGCAGGGAAGTGTCCACGTTAGTATTCTCTGGGTATACAGTCGACAGCCCGTGAATGCCAGATGTGCAGGGTAAGGTTTGGGCCAGGGTGCCAGCATCTGGATGAGACCCCAAGTCAATGGCAGCAACACAGGCACTCCACCAAGGCTGGGTTAGACGGGGGTGGAGGGCACATGGGGGAAAGAGCGATCCCCCTGCAGAGGTCTGGTGGCATGCTATTGGTACCATCCTCCCCCCCCCTCCACCTTTGAGATTCCATTTTCTTCCCTAACTGGCAATCACTGTAACCATCTTTCACCTGGTGATGTCTCGGAGGATGTGACTTCCTACTGCTTCCCAGGTTCCCAGAGCCCGAGCCCACCTGCCTCCCGCTCTCCAAGGCAGGGCAGAGGTTTGGTGATCACCAGGAGCCAGCCCACCGGTTTGCTACTCCAAGATGAGCGGGCTGAGTGCAGAGACAGGAACCCAGAGCCCTCACGCTCCTTTGAGAAGGAGGCTATAAATAAGTCAAACAAGGAAAACCGGGGTACCTCTCAGGGCGAGTGATGTGTCATTTCCAGCCCTCTGGGGGAGAGCGGGGGAGAAAGGAGGGAAACGGGAAGAGATGATACTGGAGGGTTTGCACGGATGACAAGGAATAGGGCTGTGCCCAGGGCACAGACAAGGCTCTTCCGAGGCTGCGCCAGGCGGAACCGTGAAACACTTGTCCCGGCGCAGACAGCGGCTGTGTCAACAGCAACTACTACCGGCGGACCCGCTGGCACACCTCCGGCCACGGCAGGATCTGTCTCGGCAGGGAAGGGGCAGGCCCCATCCCCAAACCCTCAACTAGGCTGGCCGTCTCTTCCGGCCCCGAGGAGTCCCCGGAGGGACGAGAGAAGCCGGGGAACAGGCTCTGTGCAGCCGCCAGGAGCTACGGAAAAACTTCGCCGCGCACAGGCTCCGTGGGGACCGGCCGAGCCGAGGGTAGAGCGCGGCGGCAGCACCGGTCCCGCAGAGGCAGGCGGGCGGGGGGGGAGGCGGGACGCGGGGCCGGGCAAGGGAGGTGTCCGGACAGACGAGCCCCCTTCCGAGCCCCCTAGGCCCTCCTAAAACACTTCTTGAAACTTCGCCAGCGAGAGCGCGGCCGCCCTCGCACCTGGGCGCGCGCGGGGGGCCGGGCCGAGCGCTCGGAGGGGCAGCGGCCTCTCCTCGGTGGCCGAGCGAACCAGGCAGGTAACCCGACCTCCCGGCCGGGGCCGAGGGGACGGACACTCCCGGGGCGGGAGCGGGCTAAGTTCCGCGCTCCACCAACTTCCCTAGTCCCGGAGCCCGGCTGGGCCAGGTGCGCGTCGCCGGGGCCCCAAGAACCCGAGCCCCTCGGCGGCCGCTTACCTGGCTCGCGGGAGCCGGCGGGGTGCGCATCCCCGGTCCGGCCGCGGGTCGTTGCACTGCTGAGGCGCGGACGCCGCCGGGCGCGGGGCAGCGGACACGCAGGGACTCGGCGGGCAGCCCCGAGACCGCAGGGAACAGTCCCCCGGCCGCGCCGCACTCGGTTCGGCTCCCGTTGAAGGTGGCGGCCCCGCCCCCGCCCGCGCCCGTTGCCGGGAGACCCGCGTGGGCCGTAAGGGCTCTTTGTATCAAAGCTGCGGTGACATCACAAGGGGCTCGGGGACGCGGGGGGCGGGGCCTCGCGCCGGGGCGGGGCCGGAGGAGGAGGAGGAGGGAGCGCGGCCTGGGAACCCGAGCCGCGGGGCGGGTCCCAGGTAACCCCGCCCCCAAGGTAGGGGCAGGTGGCCGAGGCGGCGCCGACCAATGACCGCGCCGCCGTGGGGCGGGCTCAGGCGACCCGGGCGCGCCTCGGAGGTGGAGCTCGCCGGGGGCTCGGGCCCGCGCCGCAGTCGCTGCACCCCGAGTTGGTGCGGCCCGGGCCCCGGGATTGGAGCAGGCGGAGTGTGCAAGCTCGCGCTCCTGCCAGGTGGGCGCTGTCGTCGCCTGCCCGTTCCACGCCACTCACTGTTGTCACCGCACTGCGAGATTCCGGCCAGCGCTCCCCGTCTCACATTTGCGTACCCAAACTAAGACCTGCCAAGGTCCCGTAACACACACCGCCACATCACCACCACCAGCCTGAGTCTGGTGGGTCCTACCTTGATCTTCATCCTGAATCCCACCCAAAACTTTTCCAGTCTTTTCATGAAAAGTCAAAGCTATCTTTATAACCAGCCCAAGAACACAAAGAACAAGGGGCAACAAGAACCAAAGAACAAAAGAGAAGGACCCCTTCTGTGGAATCCTAGTAAATATTGCTTATGTCAAAAATGTGCCCCCCGCCCCATCACTCTTCTCCATGCTCTGGACTTTTAAAAAGGCAGAAATGTGATGAATGGAAATCAGCAAATATCACACATGTGGTTTCTCTTTGACTCGATGTTGCATCGTGTGATTCCAGGGGAGCGGATTTATCTTCCTAATTGGCTGGAAGCTACCTTTGCCTTCCCTGAGTCCTCACTGGCCAACAAAGTGGTGGGACCAGGGGGGCAGCCAGGTGCTTTGGTCCAGCCCCACCCTCCACAGCACCCACAGCGTCTCTGCCTGCTTCTCTGCTGTTTGCTCTCAGCTGCCTCATCCCCAGTATCTCTCCTCCCAGTTAATTCCCAGCCATCCCTCTGCTGACCATGGCCTGTCTCTAAGGCAGAGCAGTCCACTGGGGCTCCCAGAACTGAGGAGCACTGTCCAAAATGGGGCAGCGTTAGTGGCGAGGGCTGCGTGAGCAAGGAGCTGGAGCCATGGAGGGGAGGTGGAAACTCCACGCCTGGCAGTCTCCTCTGAACTTATGCTGTGCAGTTCAGGCTTCCATGTGCAGAGGCCAAATTGTTTCTCGTTACTGTTTGTGTCCAGCCCCACAAGCAGAAACCTAAGGTGACCATTCCTTCTCTGGGTCCTGGCTGTGAGCCAGCGAAGATCACAGGAGAAGGCCAGACCTGTCAAGCCCCTTCCTGCCCCACCAGGGGCAGCCCGAACAACATTCTCAAGAGCTCTGTGGAAGGGGTTAGGCTAGTGGGTCCCTCTTTATTTTTCCCAAAGGTAGTGGGTAGGAAGCATCTTCCGGTATTTGTCCTAAAATGCAGCGTGACAGAGGAAGGCCACAGATGCACTGAACACTCCTGGGGGATCGCTTCTCAGCCTTTTGGCTAAGATCAAGCCAACACTCCTGGGTTTGAAGCCGGCTCAGTTGTACGTACGATAGGGGAGTCATTTGTTGTTTTGGAGCCTCAGTTTCCACCTCTGCGAAATGGAAATAAGATCTTTCCTTTCTCAGTCGTGAGGTTTAAATGAAGGGAGAAAGTGTGTAGTACAAGGTCTACTGTGTTGCAGGTGCTCAATGGCAACAGTCCCTAAATGCTATAGCGGCATTAACGAGCCCCCGCCTGTCTCAGTGGTTATATGCATGGCTGCTGGCGCCAAGGGCCATAACTTGGTTTCACCACCTTGTAGCTAAATCACCCCAGGAAAGTTTAATTCCCATGGTCACAGTTCCCTCATCTGTAAATTAGAGATAATAGTAGTGTGTATTTTAGGATTATTGTGATGGTCTGAATAATCAGGACCCATAAAATACATGGAGCAGAGCCTGGCACATAGCAGGTAGTCAATGAACACCAGCCACCACCAATTACGCTCACGGCAAGAGGCTAGCAGGAGCAGAGCTGAGATTAGAACCTGAAGCAGCCTGTGGGGAAAGTGAGGACGCTGACTTTAGGAAAAGGCCTGATACCTCCAGCAGGGTCCAGGGAAGCAGTGCTAGTCGGGCGTGGGGCGGGGATGGTGACTGTCTGAGGGGCAGGATTGGATGGAATATGGGAACAGAGGGCTCCAGCCCAGGTTAGGACTTGGTGTCCATGGTTCCGGTGGGGGCCAAGAGCAAGTTAACGGGCAACACAGTCCCCTTCTGAGCACGGCCCCACCTATGAGGCTGGGGGAAGGGAGGGTCTTAAGTTAGCCACCCTGGTCCCTTAGCTGTTTTAGATGTCATGAAATCAAACTATTTAAGCTAGGAAGACTCTGGATAAGCAACTCATGAACTCCCCTCTTCCCCATTTTATGAATGGGAAGACTGAGGCTTAGAGAGGGCTCACCGAGGCCTGGAACTCCCCCAAAGCTGCATGGTAAGATGGCAGCCAAGCAGGGACTGAAATTCAGGCTCCTGGCTGCTGGGGCAGGGCCCTCTCTTTCCTGCTTCCCTCACTGCGCTTTACCGATGGGGGTGAGACTTCACCTTGCTTGCCCAGCCCTGAGTCTCCTAAGGGATCTGACTTGCCTTTTCAGGAGAAGGCCTGTCTCTAAGGCTGCCCCCCTGGTCCCACCACTTTGTTTCAATCTCATTGAAAACGAAGATCCTCTCCCAGGGAATTTTCCAGAGTATGTATCCAGGAGTAATTTTCAGATGGCAAGTCGCTCTGATTCTTTTTATGTCATGAAACTGACTCTCCCATTGTTGATACGAGAACACTCCCGTGATGCTGGATGCCAAAGCCAGACAGAAGCAGATAAAATGTTGACAAGCAGGAGTCACGGCCGCCAGAAACTGACAGGTGTGGATCATCTGGGTGATCCAGGTGAGAAGAGAATAGCAAGTTCTCACTGTACCACGCTGCCGTCTACCTATGTCTAGTTTTTTTCCTTTTTATTTATTTTTTGCTGCCACCATGCAGCATTAGCTCAACATTAAATGGTGTAAAGAGGCAACATTTTGTACATGTTTGGGCCCTAAGGAAGGACAGGCTAAGCATATATGGTATCGTGATAATTTTAGTGGGGAAAGAGCCCTTCTGAACGTTACCTAGTGTTAAGATTAGCCAAGCAACTGATGCCGACCAGTGTTAGTGGAGTGAACGAACAGAGATCAGCTGACACAAATAGTATCACAGCTAAACAACAACAACAACGACAAAACTCTGACTCAGTAGTTCTCAAACTGCATTCCTTGGAATGCTCAGGGTTCTGTGGAGACCCTGCAAAAGGGAAGAGTTTCTCCAGGGGAATAAATGTATCTCCACTTCCGTCTGTTTTACATGTAGTCTTCCGCATGAAATTTCATGTGAACAAAGAGTTCCATGGTTTTAAAAATGTTTAAAATCACTGGTGTAGTAGAACCACTCATTGCCCAGATAGGGAAACCTCTGCATACGCAGGTTTCATATCCCATGAATACTGTATTTCCAATCCTCTGTGTTTGGTTGAAAAACATCCATGTATAAGTGGACCCTTGACGGTTCAAACCTGTGTTGTTTAAGGGTCAGTTGTACCGCTCCATGTGTGGAAAAGCCCTCCCAGTAGATGGCTAGGACTCTGCCACAAACTCTTGTCTCTCACCTCTCTATTCAGAGGTCCCTCGACTCCACACTCAGAAAGTGTCAGCTGCGACTGTAAATCTCAGCTTTTGATCCAAGGTGGTAAATTCAATGTTTCCAAGCAGTGGCTTAGGAGAGGGACACTTTCAGGAGCTAAGCAAGTAGGCAGGACTCTGGAATTGCAGAGGCCTCTCAGCCCTGAGGCAAAGTCGTTCCCAATCTCCCACTTAGAAAACATAGGAGACCCCTGGGCCCGAGCCCTTCCTCTCCAGCAGGGACATGTCTGGGGACCTGCACTGGGCTGGTGTCTTCCTGGGAAGAAGAGAGTATCCACGACCACGCCCTCCTCTGCCTCTTCCACCAAACCCTGAGAGGACGCAGGAGGCCTGGGTTCTCGGCTCTCCTCAGGCTTCTGGGCCTCAGACTCCTCCCCAGGAAGGCTGTGGGTTGGATGGCACATCTTCAGGTTTCTTCCAGTTCTGCAACCCCGTGCTAGCCCTGGACCCAGGTGTGTGCCCTGGAAAAGAGGACCCCTTTCCCTTGGCAAACACCCCGGTGTGGTTGGTGACTGCCCTTGGGCCAGGGTGCCGTCAGCAGTGGGCCCCTGGGGCTGGGCTGGATGCTGTGCATATGGGGCAGGACCAGGTCTCACTGACTCTGGAACCCAGGCGGAGTCTTCAGAGGCACCAAGCTCTATTTCTGTCAACCTGAGCACACATGAACAATGGGTTTTCTTACTCATTCAAACCCAACGAGAGGGGAAAAATGGTGAGAAAACCCATGTTTCCTCCCTAGCAAACATCTCCTCTGACTCATTCAATCATCTGAAAGGAAGAGGTGGCAGGGGAGGAGGAAGCGAGCCAGGTCTCCTTCTGACTGGGTTGGGTGAGGGCAGGGAGCAAGAACTTCCTTCACTCTGGGCAATGTCAGGTGACCACAACCCATGACAGCATAAATAGCTCTCCTCTCCCCCAGACGCCCCACCCCACCCTCCCACCTCCTTCCAGACTCAGGCAGCGGAGGTCCCAGCCCAGGCGCCACAGCCCATGTCTCTGATTCACTGTGGACTCAACTAAAAGCTTTTTAGGAGTGGACAGCCCTTGAAAGCGGTGGTTCCCAAACTGCGCTGCAATTAGAATCACTTGAGGAACTTCAAAAACGTCAATGCCGGAGTCGTACCCTTGACTCAGCAC